TATCCAAACATCCTGAGAGTTTATGTCGAGGAACACAACTGAGAGCCTATCGATTTTATGCCAACACAAATAGCAGCCAATGCGCACCAAATCCAATGGGTTGGTTTATTTGGAGGGACAGACAGAAGTTTCCAGTGTTCTTTAATGAAAAAAATAGCGGACCAGAGTGAAGTTTTACGGTGCGTTCATCAGCTAACCCAAAATGCGCACCATGCTGCGGAAACATTGCAATTGTGTTGCACAGCACGTCATAAAATTTGTTCGTTCGTCTGACTGTGCACGGTGCGGTGCGTTCGAAGGAAACCCAACCAGATCAGCAGTAGGCTGTCGTTTGTGCGTTCACTTCAGTCGTGCATACACATGTTCACTTCCATGAATAATATGCAAAACCCGTGTGCCTCTAATGAGACAGATCCATCTGTTGATTCTCTACAGATTACCCATCCTCTTTGAGTGATCATATTCAATTATGTTTCTTATTTGAAGAACCACTGCACGGATCCATACAGTCGGCTGGGTTCTCAGCTGATCAGGTAGCAGTTGATCCCTTCGTCGAGTTTGGTACTTGGCCTGTACGTAGATCAGCCATCACCTGATCAACAAACAATCAACAAACCACTACTAATGAGACACTATCGGATGGGGTATCTCAACTTTTTCAGCTCAGCCAGTCAGATGAGTCTGCTACAGAATTGACTACTTGGGAGCAGTCAAACGTTAAACCTCGCTGAGGATACGTACCAAGCCAATGAAGGTGACGATCTTAACTTCAGGTTTTCGGGACTAACCCCATCCCGCCTTTATAAGTATAGAGATCTTTGCCCTCGTTCAACTATCGATTAATTGTAACCTCTCATCAGCCCGTTTGGAGGTGATTACCAACTTTCTGAGATCTTTGCTTTTTTCGTTGTCTTGTTTTCGATTCCCAACTCATGGTACTAAAAGGGGTTTCAGGTTTTGTCACGTGATCTGAAGTAAGGAGTTACCAAACTCGAAAATAAGGAAGGAGAAACATGTGAAAACTTCTTGTGTGAAAAAATAACTTAAACCACAATTCCATCACCCTAAGAATGACGTCACCATTTATTGCAAGATTCATATCGACTACTTTCATCCGTATGCCCTATGCTTTCGCGGTTGATGCGCACGAATCCTGTAAACACGTCTGATGGCAAGATCAGCACTATTGCAAACATTTCTCGTTGTCAAGATGACGTCATTTCCTTCGTTATTCCCCATTTTCCCAATTAAAATGGCTCCCGGGCGATGGAAACTCGGGGACTGGCTAATCTGATGAGCCCCAAAAAGGACGAAACCGGTCGTGGGCTGTAGAATAATTTTCAGCAGCCTCATAAGTAGAGTATTACGTCTATACATGTGTCGCGATACTTTGAATATCATACCAACTGAAACGTGAGGTGGTCTAGTGCAGCACATTCTGTTGCTTAGAAACATCACAAACGAGAGATTCAGTCGGGTTTCTGGTAGTTCCCTCGCAAAATCAAATTTACCTGCAGGCGAGTGTATTTCGCTTCATTTAATAAGGCACGTAGCTGTCACCAGTAGGTCTTGTCGTCACGCATAACTAAAATGGGATTCCGCATTATTGCAAACGGACTTCGTATGGATACAGCCATAGCCTATGCCACCCTAAGGACTCTCCGTTCCACTCGAAAATCCTTTCCGACACATGGCCGAGACTTTTAGGCGGTATGGTTCTTACTCTGTCTACCAAAGCTTACAGCACAATTCGTGTTGTGTTTTTCGCCAGGGTATGACCGATGGAGAAAAAACATCGAGAAAAAACGAGCCAGCCTAAAGATAGATAACTACGCGTATTAGTGGGGGGCAGCTTATACGATTTCAAAACACAACCGAATTCGGTTGGGACAGAGTGACGTAGATCTAGGACAACAAGAGAGGGAACGGGTACAAGGTGGTTTGTGAGTGTGGTACTCCTATGTTCTTCAACTATTCGGACTGGTCCCTCTGTTCTGAAGATCACTTTAAGCACCGTTCACCCCATGACTTGGGTTATTGTTCTGCATCGATCAAACTAATCCTTGTCTCCTCTGCCTCATCTGGACATCAAGTGAGCATTCATGTCTCATGTTCATATTACGCCAACTGTGATCTTTCTGCAAATGGAGAAGAGTTACTGTGACCTGTATTCATACAATCCACAAAGCAGAATGTCATCATATTACTGTCTTGATTACTTGCGAATTGTCTCCATTAAATGTAAGATCAAATCACATCTAAAATTTTAGACTCCGTTTCACATGTGCGCACAGAATGTGTATGAAAACGTTTGGAACCGATTGGGAAGTCATGGTTTCGGAAGGACTTGTTGAGTGAAATTGATGTGCTATTTTTCGGAAACTAAACTTATCACATTGGGACGGAATTGAAAAGAGGGCGGAGGATGAAGTTAATAGAATTTAACATATGGTTTATTATGGTTTCGGGTGCTGCGATAACTTATACTCAGTAAACAACTACGGAATGCGACTAAGTTTACTTAGCTTTTTAGAATTTCTAACAGAAGCAGAGAGTCGTACTTGATGGGTCAATCCAGGGGCTCGTTGTGTTGGTTCATATGTTTCCTGCACATTGGCGGCATAAAAAAAATAGTGGTTTGACCTTTTTGGGATTCAAGATTTTCTCAAAAATCATTGTTACAAACTACGAGTGGTCTGCAGGTCCAGTCTGATCAATAGATCTCGAATTTCTTCAGGTCGTGGCATCTTCATCCGCATCGCGAAAAGTTCTCCATCAACGACAGTGAAACTCGAACTAAACAAATGACCTTGGAAAGCTGGTGCATTCTTATAAAATGTGTAGACAGTGGTGAGTTTTCTATAGAGAAAAATGTTGGTAGCTCAGGTAGCGTAGATGGTCGGTGGCTTGTTCGCTGAGCTGTGCAATTCGATTGCAACCGCTTCATCACCAATCGAGGTGACATTACCAGTGCGTTATTGGGGAGTGTAGTGGTGCGTAGCGGTGGGTTAATGGTTGTGCCCAGCTCGGCGAACAAGCCAAAAAACAGTGGTGAGTAAAAGTGATGGTGCGTTCAACTATTTGAAGTGCCATACAGGAAAAGGCACGCAACCTCCTTTACCTCGGTTATCATCCCCAACTTCACTCCTATTCGCACGATGTCAAAAAAATGTAGTGACATAAGGGTAGGGGTGACATATACAGCTCTTTCTGCTGGTTCTAAAATAAGCCATAAATAAGAAATCAACAAATAATCAATAACCTTGCCAGCTAGTGTGCCCTAACAATGGCCGTAGGATATCTTGCCAAGCACTAACTGTAGCTAGAATACCGAACAGAGGGTAAGAAAGTTTTGCATGTACATAAAGTAACACAAAAAGCAGCCATTAGAAGACATGATCCATTACCACCAGAGCCTTATGAACGAACAGCAAACAATTCATTGTAATGCACATGGAAGTCAGGCCTGAAGCTCCAAGTCTTCAACCCCTATGTCCTCCCGTGCGTGATACCCAACCAGGGCCTTCGGAATGCCTGAGAACATTACAAACGAGAGGTCCGGCTCGGTTCCAGGTGAGTCTCCGAAAAAAACTGAGAACATTACAAACGAGAGGTCCGGCTCGGTTCCAGGTGAGTCTCTCGAAAAAAACCAAATTAGTTTGCGAATGAGTGTATATTTCCTCCTTCGGAATGTTGTTATATCGACGTGGTTAACTGAACAATGGAGAGCTACAGACTGCTTAAACGATACTGGTTATTTGTGGACGACTTGGTGGATCGAAGCAAGTCTTTGCAAATCGCTTTTAGCTCAAAAAATCACCTCCGTAGGGGTATTCTTATTAACACCAAGTTATCAGGAGAAAATCTGGACCAGAAAAAGTACCCCTTCTCCCGTGAAAATTCCTCTGTAAAAGGGTGCTGTCACTACATGTCTAACCCTGTTTAGGACTGAATACTTGTAAAACGACGAATGAGGAAATGCGTACAGCTTCGACGAAGCTTCAAAAGACCAGGGCAAACTGTCAACTAGTAACGAAAAATGGAAAGCTTTATCTAGAGTGGTAACACCATGAAGACAACCAAAAGCCCCCTGTCTTAATTTGTTTTGACTGACCGTGCTAGAGATAGAAGACTTTTGAGCAAAAATAATGCAGTTGAATAATGGTGGAGATGACAGCAAACAACACCGATTACTTTCTGATACACTAATTTGTGGCACAAAACTCTCCAGGAGTATTGATTTCAAAAAACTGGTCGGATAAGTTTGCATAAAAAAGACCTTTAAAATGCAACCACCTTCGCATATAACGAACTTTACTATGTTGACACTTGTTCCAACACTGTCATCAATCTGAGCGTGTTTACAACCCATTCCCCAGTGTAGCACAATGTGTTTGTCATTCGAAACCTTTCTTCAGATGAATGATTATGAAGGGGTATGTAAAACGTACTTTTCGTGATTGGTTGGAATATGAGCAGCATGATAGAAGAGAAATAGCAATAAGCGAAGATATTTCCACCAGAAATGTCGAAAGCATAAAAACGCAGAAGTGCCAATTTTCAAATTTGGGGTCACAGATCCCAGTGCAAAAAACGGATTATTGTAGTGTGGAAGACGCGAGTTCTGAACCACCACCCACGAACTAGTTTAGGGTACTCCAATTATGTTTAAATGCAGCTTGAGTTTGCTATGTGCGATTGAGTCACCCAGATGGGACAACCAACCCGATCAAACTTGGTCAACCTCTACAGTGCGAAGTTAGAAGGGGTCAAGCAAATTAGCCCCAGTGCAACCAAATCGGAATTGATTAGAAATGGCTGAACACCAGTCACCAAGACTGACAACATTGAGCCAGACTTTGAGGCGCCCTCGCTATCACCCAATGACATGTGTGTTTTCCGCACTCCTATTGGCTGTTTAACTGCCCAGCACAGCACACCACTCCACGTATCAATGCGGTCTGTCTCTTGAACCAGCCAATCACATCATGGCGCTAGCAGATCAGTGAAGCAGCACGATTCCGTTAAGTGCTGATCACGATAAACCGCTGAAAGGATAATCACTCTCAGATCCAATGCCTGATGGATACAAGTAGACATCACTGTTCGGTCAGGCATTGGCTTAGAAGTTCCTTTCCTCTTCTAATTGGTATGGTATTTGGGCATCTATATTTTGGCATACTTCAATGGACAGGAAAGGAGAAGCCAATTAATTGTGCTATTACCAAAGTTTCAAGAACTGTCTATCCCTGGACCACGATAAGAAAGCCACGAATATTGTGTTACATTAATACATATCCACCAAACTACGTCACAAAAGCCATCCATGTCCAGAACACTTGGGCTCGTCGATGCGATGGATTCTATTTCACTAGCACCGTCAATCATCCAAATCTGTCAGTCTTGGGTAAGTGGATTAAGTTCTTCCCCCGTTTCGATATCTGTTCATCCGGAAATACACCTTTTTCTATGTGGGTCATGGCAGTTAAATGCAAACTGTCCTTTTCAAATCTTGGAAGGTCAGATGGTTTCTTGAAGTCATCGCGGGGTAGTTAAGTGAGTACCCAGTGTGGGTAAGGTATCCACATTGAAACGCTGTTGTGGTAACTGGGTATGGACCTGAAAGATGTCACCGGACATCTTATTTTCTAAGAAATGGCTGTGAAGTGTTCTGGGATGCTACCAAACTCCTCGGGATTTATCGCTATTCTTTTCTTTGACTAGCTCAAAGCAAGTTGCTTACGAAGGGTGAGGTAATTGAAACACCAGTATATGTGCTTGTGAATTTTGTAAAGCGCTGTTACCTGGAGGTTATTTGACACAGTGCTGATAGTAAGGCTAATTTACTTCATCTGTTTTCCTTGGTTTCCATCGACAGTTTGGTTATCAGCATCCATTTATGTTTTTCTGGCAACATAAAGTCCACTTCTCCCTGATTCATAGCTCATCAGAAACAAGCTGGAGGGTCTAGGTCACCTGTGACTTTCTGAAAAGCATGTTGTCCAATTGACCCATATCGGTCGGTACAATGTGGAAGTCTTGTGAAAGAGACCTGTCTGGAAAGAGTTGACTATCCTGGAGAGCCCAAATGGCTGTTCTCTACCACCTACGGCTTATTGCAGCATCTGTCTTGCGGACATAAACGGATAACCGTAGGAAAGATCAAAGCGCTAACCCCGAAATGATAATGTACAATATATATATATATATATACATATATATATATATATGAGCCCGCTCTAGATTGCTGAGTCAAGCTCACCGCATTCGGTCAACTGCACTAAAACCCCTGTTGTCCAGATCGGGCTCTATACAATGTCACGTGATCAGCTTTCATTCTCATCAATCCTTGTGACCCGAACAATGTCTGAAAGTCCGTGGTCACGTGATCAGCCTTCATTCTCATCAAACATTTTGAACGGAACACGAAAATACCGGAATATTTAGAGTTAATCAGCACCTTCTTTAGGGATGTTCACTCATCGCCGCTCTTCGTTTTTACTATGTTTCGTTGAACTGTGCTCCAAAACTCCCTAGCCTCAACCTTTTTATGGTTGATAGCAAGCAGTCCATAAGGTAGTATTCCTGTGGTAGGAGCGACCACAGTACTACCATACCATACATCTACATTCCTGCGTGTATTGTCAAAGGCGAATAGAATAGCTAAATGGTTGCATATGTCGTCCATCAGATTCAAGCCATGAAATAGTTCAATTCTCGTCACCACTATCAAGAACATCTTAGCGTTGTTGCAATATCCGTTTCAGCTTGAAGATATAAACAAAGCCTTGCTGCTCCAGAATCGAATGAGATCTTTCATTATATATGCCCTTGTAGAACGTCAATTCCTTAAATTCGATTATAGAAAGCATTGGGTTATGCTGAGTACAGAACAGGAGACTATGCAGTCTGAAATACGGAACAGAAATGAATTTGACACTCTCTAAAGGGGAGCAACCAAATGTGCCCTGGAAATGTTAACGATAGCAGATTCGTGAATGTGAATTTCGAAAATGAATGTTACGATATTATCATCCACTCAGGTTCTGAAAATTAAATGGAGGATGGAACATGAATGTGGAGATAGCGCTACACGGTACACCTGAGCTACTGCAGTCGAGGACAGATCAAACAAATCACCAGTATTAGGAAGGCCGCCGCATCCCGGAGGAATGAACATACTGACAGTTGCCGATGAAACGCAAATTCATGTCATTGTGTTAAATTGCTTACCGCTGTTAGACAAGTCATTTGATGGCGGCTTTCGTGGTCCGTAGTCAATGTCCACAGACATGGTCAGCTGGCTCATGGGCTCCAAAAGGTTGTGAAACTTGTGTTACTAGGATGTGAATGCATTAGACTGCCGTGCACACACGGCGGACAGTCAAAGGACGTCTTGGTTATCCCCGTTTACATAGCTAAGGCAAAGACAAGGGTAAGTTCCAGTGCTTCGTCTCAGATGTACCGTGTGTTTGAATTTCGCTTACGAATAGTGGGTTACTGCTTTAGCTTGTATGAAGTTATCGCATGGTAGGGTAAGTAGTTCACCCTCAACTGTTGTCTTTTCAACCGCTGGAAATAGGACGTGTCTGAAGTGTAACTCACAAGCTTTCGATTCTCATCAACAGATAAAAAATCGGCTGACTAAAAATAAAGTAAATACTGTGAACTTTGGTTAGTTGGAAGTGTCCTGAATAAATGGGTGCCTTCATTGGCGTCAACGCTGATGCCAGATAGAAAAACTCAACTTGTATTTTTGGTTCACTATGCGCACGTACAAGTGCGAACATCTCTGGTATAGAATTTTGTATCTAGTCGGGTTGTATGCTTCGGTTTTGGTTCGGTCTCCTTTAAATGATTACAGCTGATCGCAAACGTGTAAGGCCCCAACTGTGTGGAATACTGTGTCCTTCACGCCCTTGTATTCTATAGAACCATACTCCTGTTATCGTCCTAATTTGTTCCGTTATTCGACGCAGAAAGCAACTGACACTTTGCAACCAACTTAAGGTGAAAGTAAAAACAAAACTGAGTCATGGGAACTTCCACTACAAAAATAACACTTTTCATGTTTTCGAAAAAGTTTGGTGACAATCGGTAGATTTATTGCTGGACAATGTTTCGCTTTTGACACAAAAGCTTCGTCAGGCCAAGTGACCAGGTTCCGAGGTTGATCGAGATTTAAGGTGGAAGGAGAACCAATCAGCTAAGTCAAGCTGTTGGGTGTCGGCCGAGGGATTTTTAGTGTGTTAGAGTGGTTGAACAAGTGTTGGGTTGGTGGGGAAACCTACATGTGTTTGGGTCCTGCCTAGGGTCTAGTTCTTCTGGTTCGGTTCATTTGATGGTTCCTCTTGAACTTCGTTTGAACCTTCTGTTAGTCTGTGTGGGTGAGCTAGTGCTAAGAAAGTTGTGTAGGAGGGATGCTGTGACCTTTGGTCGGTTGGGGTTTCCACCCCTACCCCCGATTTTTTTTCTAATGATCCTAAGTGGATTGAAAACCACACCGTCACGTGTCAACTCGGCTTATCTAAGACCGCTTTCCATACGCTCGCTAGCTCCACACCCTCGATTCTATTCACGCTGTGATGCATAGTGATTTCCACCGCCTCGGCTATCAGCCGTTGTGGTGTGAATCGCAGTCCCCGTCTTAAGACTTCCACATTCTCCAGATCTATTCTATGTCCCGTGTCTAAGGCATGTACCGCCATCACTGAGTCTTTGACCAGCGTTTGGTATTCTTCTGCATTCCT